TTACTTTATATTGTTTTATTTTAGCTATCAAGTAATTAATGGTCCTGACCAAGGAGAAATTGAGCTTGGTTCAAACCTCGAGCCTTTAAAAACTACTATATTTAGCCAAGCAGAACTTGAAGCTGGTCATGTACGTTACCGGCATAATGGTGATGTGGAAAGTGTTAGAGACAGAGTAACCATCCGTGTATCTGCTGGTAGTACTGTATCTAGAGAATTAGAATTTGATATAAGGCTTTTACCACAACACTATTGGGAACCACTGGAAGTCACTAAGAACTCACCAATAATAGTTGACGAGTCTACTACCATTGCAGTTATCAGACAATACCTTGAAGTACAAAAAATATATAATTTTATTAAGAAAAATATTATTTTTTCTATGTTTTAGATTTTTAATTATAATTCATTGTAGGTAAAACAAGACATGGTACCACCTTCAGATATTATGTACTTAGTAAAAGAACCTCCGCGTTATGGTTATTTAGAAAAAGAATCCAACGAAGAAGACCTTGGAAGTCCGGAAAACAACCATTTAACTACTTTCAATCAAAGTCTTATAAATAGTGGACATCTTTACTATGTTCAATCAACCATGAATCAGAGTACTGATCGATTGGTCGTTGATATTACAAATGGAGTTGTTTCATTGTATGGTCTTGTTGTGAGTAATATTATCCTTAATGGTTACTTCATAATACAAATAAAAATAATTTTTGACAGATAAGTTTTGTGATTGTGCCAAAAAATGTATATTTAACAAGCTCCCAGCTTAATGTTATTGAGGGCGGAAATGTGACTTTGAGTGCCGATACATTTCCAGTTATGAGTTCATATTACACAGACAGAGTATCTCGATATTCATTAGTTAGTGCTCCAAACCATGGGCGTATTGTGCGAACTACTGCTGATACTTTTGATCCAACTATAGATTATTGGAGTCCCAAACAACTAGCGAGATCACAAATAATGGTTGGTTAGAATTATTAATTATACTTCTCTAGATTCTGTATTAATTAGTTTTATTTTCTATATCTTTTATATTTCAGTATGTTCACGATGGGTCTGAAAGTACTGACGACAGTTTTTCCGTTAAAGTAGGAGTGTCTGATGAAAAAGAAAGTGCTCCGGTTGATATTGAAGTTAAAATAAATCCAGTGAATAATCAAAAACCATTGATTATAAGGAATACTGGTATTAAAGTTTGGAAAGGTGGAATTGGGCTCATAACTTCTGATAATTTAAGTAAGTCAACAAAAATATCAATTAAAATTATTTTTACAAAAAAAAAAATGCATTATTTTAGCTGTTGAAGACAAAGACACGGATGTTTCCAACTTGACTTTTGTAGTGACATCATCCAGATGTGGTCATGTGATTTTAGAATTGCAACGTACTGAGAGATTTACCCAAGCACAAATTGATCAGGGTATTGTTTTTTTTCAACACTCTGGAGAATATTGTGATGGTGAATTGGAACTGTCAGCACATGATGGTCTACATTCTACAGGAGTTACACAATTTAAAATAACAACAGAACAAGCCTCAGTGAAAATTTTAGTCAATAATCCCCTGCGAGTATTTCCAATGCTTGGACGTCAATTTACTATTGATCATTTAATGGCTCAATGTGATGATCCAAATTATCAAGTTACTTACATTGTAAGAAATGCACCAAGATATGGCATTGTGTCTAAGAGTGCTTCATATGAAGATTCGAATCAAATGGCAATTACAAATTTTACACAAAAAAATGTAAATGAATCAGCCGTGTGGTATCATCATGTATCGAAATACTTTTCCAGTAACACTACTAATGATGTTTTTACATTTGATGCCATATGTGAATATGCAATTCCAATTACTAATCAAGTAAGTAAAACAAAACAATAAAAAACAAACCTAATTATGTTCTAAATAATTAAATTCATGCAATGTTATTACATTTTTTTTAGACTTTCAATCTTGAAATAACTGTATCGTCGGGTGGTCTTGAAGAACTTTTAATTGGTGATAAAACTAAAGAACTTGTTGTTAAAGAAGGTGAATCAACAATTATTGATTTAAATACTACTGCCATTTTAACATTTTTAGTAAATAGCATTGGCATTAGATCGCCAACTATCAAAATTGAACTTACAAATGAACCTAAGCATGGCCATGTATGCCTTGATGACGATTGTGACCGACGGACATTTACCCAAGGTCATATGAGGCGTAATCTAGTTAGATATGTACATGATCATTCAGATACATTGTCTGATAGTTTAGAATTTTCTGTTTATTTGGACATTGATCCGACCGCTGTTCCTTTATGTAATGTGACCATTCCAGTAAGCATCACACCTGTAAACGACCAACCATTCTTTTTAACTCAATCATTTCCAAATATGAGACTTGTTCAAGGACAATCTGTAACATTGACTAGATCAGAACTGTTAACTGAAGATCCAGATACTCCACCTGAACAAATTGTTTATGACATTGTAACTGCACCCGCCTATGGTACTATCTGTTTGGCTGGTATAAAAAATTCTGCTAGATTTACTCAAGCTGATATTGATGCCGGTGAAGTAATTTACAAACACGATGGTCAGTTAAAACCTACCACATTTTATTTTCGTGTGTGGGACGGTCAATTTAATCCAGTCTATAAGGTCTTCCAAATTTATGTCATACCTGTTACTCTGAATGTAACTGTATCGTTACCTTTGCCATTACTTCAAGGAACATATGAAACAGTAGTGAATGAAAAATTATTCCAAGTTGAGACTAATGGAGACAAAGATTCAGTTGCTTACAATATCTCAATGAATCCTAGGCATGGTGTAGTCTATGTAAATGGCACAAAATCAAAATTATTTTCTCACAAAGATTTAAAAGATGGTAGAGTAATTTATAGACAGACTGACTTGACTTCTGCAGCAGATGCATTAAGATTATCTGCTCAAATGCATTGTGAGCAATCTCCTGTAATTAGAGATTTGTGGTTAAATGTCAGTGTTGAACCTTTGGTGAAAACCGGGGCGTTTTATCCTTTAACAGGATTGAAATCACAACTTGGTGTTCAAGTTTTAAATGCTGAAATGTTAGCAAAAACCACAAGTTCTGATCCAAAGTACAAAATTTTAAGAAAACCTAAGTTTGGAAAGTTGAAAAAAATTGTTAGGAGATCTGGAGACAAACAAGTTATTCGCGAAGTTGATGTTACTAAATTTTCACATGGAGAAATAGCTAGCGGAATAGTGTATTTTGTGGCAAAGAAAGTACTGGAACCAGTAGAAGACAGTTTTCCATTTTTACTCACAGCAAATGGTGTGCAACCAGCAATTGGTGAATTGCGATTTCATGTATCTGTAGCTGAACCTCCTTCTACTACAACACCTCATATACCTACAACCACGATTAAGTATTCTTCAACTTCTGTTGGCAAAAAAACAGATATTGTAGAAATAGCAAGACCAAATATGAGTGATGACTATTTGTTATGTGTTGGGTTCATTATGGCTGTGGTGGTAGCTTCCCTTGTAATTGTAGTTCTTATTCGATGTCGATCTAAGAAACGTGCAGAAGAGTTGGATAAAATGAATCCCATGCCATTACCTTGCCCACCTGATGATTTGATGACTACATCACCTAGGATCGACAAGAATGAAAATCATGGATGTAAAGTAATAGCTTTGGGTCCACCAGAACATACTGAACCAGAGACTGATTTTAATATGAGGTATCCATATGGTGCTGCTGATGAAGAATACAGTAGCAGTGCTGATGGTACAGAACAAAATAATCCAATGCTTAGAAGAAATCAGTATTGGGTTTGACGTAAGTAGTCAATAGTGTCAAACTATTATTTATTAAGTTAAACATATTTAAAAATTATATAAATAATACATGTTTTAAACTATTATTATTATTAACTTGTACAATTATAACTTTAAACTAATTGTATAATAATTTATTTTTATTTTTCCATCTCGATTAGATTATTGAAAAATCTAGTCTGTAACATTTATAATGATAACCCCACATTACTCAAAGTTGTATTACTAGTTAATCTTAACAAAACATTTTTACTTCCAGCTAACTATTTTAATTTTAAGTTTCAACATTTTAAGGGCATGTAACACATTAAATTAAGCTTAAGTTAAGTAATAAATTATGTATTTAAATATAATTATCGTAGGTGTGCGTAATGGGTTGAATTTACTAAAATAACATAAAATGTTTTGGTATTAATACCTGTACTCTGTAACCCAACTTTTATATTATTTAGTTAATATTGATCAAAACTTGTGCTGTTGAAATTTTAAACATTTCTTGTTAATAACACACGCAACAAATAATTGACTTGACAATTATTTTTTTTTTTCAAAACTTAATTTTGAATGTCTCTAACATTGTCCAGATCACATAATTGACTGATTGTTTTAATAAAATAATTAGTAATTAGTTGTTTGGTTAGACTGGAAAAAAAGAAAGTTTTAGTATTAATCGATTTATTGTACTCAAAGAATAGTAATTTTTTTTTCCATCTATGTAATACCTACTATTTAGTTTTTACTTTTACATTTGTGTTTATTAAATTATTCATATCGAGTCCCTTGAATTTGTATTTAATGTAATTTGCAAATGAAGGACATTTTTATTAGGAATGTTGTTTGTTTGTTTCCATTCATTGTACAACATCTTATTACGGGCCAAAAAATTGTGTCGAAAAGTATTTAGATATCTATATTATAGTTGTACGCAGTACACTTGAACTTGTGTATCAATTATCTATCATAAAACTATATTATAAATGAAAGTTTAAAAACATTTATTAAGTCTTGAGCGCATGTCCCAAAATGTAATTATATTATATGTCTCAAAGCTCAATTGACTATGTCTTAGTTTTCTTATTGTACATACTATTTTTAGACTAATAAAATTAAACTTAAACAATTCAAATTTTAAGTGGTTTTTAATTGAAATGGATGTGTGGCGCGTTTGTCAACAGTCTACACTCTGATGTGAAAAGTACCCAAAAAATCCGGTGCTCTTAGTATAACGTGTTCGAATTCCATGTACGACAATTTTCCATCGCCGTCTACGTCTGCTTCTTCAATGACTTTTTCGCACACCTGAACAATCTCCTCAGCCGACAATTGACTTCGCGTCAACAGCTTCAGCACTTGTTCAAGGTCAGCCGGCCCGATGTGATGGTCGTCATCGAAATCTACAGCCACCATGTTAAAAATGACATTTTATGATTAGAAAATCATGGAATCGTTGACACTTTATACAAATTAGAATTAAGTTAGATAATATAATACAATTTAACTATTAGTTGAGGTCCAACAGGACTTACGATAGGACCAAATGTTGAAATATTGGTGAGAGTCTTATTCATAAAATTAATCGTCTACCTGAATCATAGACAATGTGACACAGTATGTTGGAAACCTAAACTAACCTTAATATCGTGCAATTTCGAGGATTTGTAAAGAAGTAATGTGAATGATTTGTAAACCAATCATTTTTTATTTCCATAATGTATTTATAGGTTTTTCTCTTTTTTGAATGATAACATATTACATATATATTAATTTCATTGTTCTTCAATCTTCAGTAGTAGTTAGCTGGACTAATAGATTTTTATAGAATATAATTTTATACAAATATTGTCAATTTACATTGAAAGTTTGAATGAGCAGAATAGTGTACTAAACATTTGCCGGGTATATCACCACCACTTCACGTAGATCCTCTATACTTTAAATACTTGTTCTTAAAATACTATCCTATATTTTTCAAAAATAAAAAATAGTATACTTGACAGCAGAATATGAAATTAAAACTGAATTACAATAAAAAAATAGAAGAAATACTGAAAAAATAAATATTGCTTAAGCTAACTTTGATAATTTAAAAAATAAAATTTTTGAATTTTAGTCAAAGGCAATGCTTAAGGTAGGTTTTGTTTTGATCAACCTTATTTAAGTAATAATTTTTCTTTTCTTAAGCCAAAGTCTCGTTTTCTAAGTCTCATTTGAGTCATAGAGTCACCTAACCTAACCTATACCTTACGCATTACTTATTCCTAAATCCTAAGCATCGACTATGAATACAGCCCTGCAGTGTGTAGCCTATCAACAATACCGATTACGATTCTACAAATATAAGTTGCCAACTAACCGTAAATCTTAAAGGCGTAGTACACTTTGATTTGCCTAGGAGCCTGTTCGCTGAACACCGACAACAAGTCTAAAAAATCTTCAAAACTCAATGACCCGTTGCCTTCTTTTGAGAATACCTGACATATTCGTTCTTTAAATGGGTTTTCCTGCAACAAAATTCAATTTTTGGGTAGCACAAATAGTACATGACTCGTATATCCGTCCCATTGAGAGGGAGGGACACTATAATATGTATAGACATTTTATATTTATTTTACAGACAAACAAAAACAAAATTCATAATTGTACGTGTTTCCCTAACCTTGCAATGTTCCTTACAATGTGTTTAACACATTTGGAAATGCTTTAATTACCTACCTATACTGTTTGCATATTTGTATAATAATAATATTTGTATGAGCTTTGCACCAAATACTCGGATAGGTTGAATAGGCTAATCTAAATGGTTGTGGTAGGTAACGCATTGCTGCAGTGGCGGCGCCGGGGGTGGGCCAGGGTGGGCCCGGGCCCACCTTAAAAAGTCTCCGGCCCCCCCTGTGGCCCACCCCAATAATTAAATTTAACCATATTAGAATACTAAAAAATATCTCATGAATAAATCATGATTAATTATTAAAATATGAAAATATTAAGTCGTAATAGATGGCGTGAACAACATTTTGAATGGGTTGAAAACTATATGCACTATAATATGCTTTCAACCCTCATAAATAACGTGTATTTTCCAGCGGCTGAATACGAAAATAATAAATTATTATTAAATATTCATTATGGTATTGAGTGTAATTATGGGTTAGGGAGCATAAAAATCGAAAAGTGTTTACATGAATATATATTTTGTTAGCAAATAAATACTATTAATACAATACATGTTTACAAATCATTGTTTTAGTAAGTTTACACGATGAAGTGTAAAAAAAATTGGAAGTTGACCCTCCCCCTCTCCCCTCTGCGAAATTTCCTGTCATCACTATTGTTTATATATATATATATCAAGTCAACAATTTGGCCCTCCCTAAAAAATTTGGGCCCCAGCCTGGCCCACCTGGTATTAAAGTTCTGGCGCCGCCACTGCATTGCTGCGGTTGCAGTTTTAAAAACTGAAATAAATTAAGAATTAAATAGTTACAGAATATACCTAAATAATTATTTATATTTTAAATACTTAATAATGGTAATATTACAATGTGAAAATAACGTTAAACAGCTCGTATTTTTCCACCACTTAACTAGTAAAAAATATACACAAGTATAGGTAGGATCACGTATTTAACTAAGAAAAAAAAATAATTTCAATAGGTTAGGTATATAATTAATCTAAATATAAAAATTATCTTTAAGTACCTTAAGTTCAGGCAACTGTTCGATTCGTTCCTGCGGCACACGGATTTTCACTGGTTCGTCTCCGGTCATTTTCTTGGGCACCACTTCGGGACAAATCGCTCTGTATCTTTTATACACTCTTTAAAAACAAAACGGAACCGAATGTTAGGCCTAGATGAAAAAAACGATAAATTTTTTCCTCATCTATCCACAGTGCGTGCGTGAGTACATACAATTTACTAGTTTACAAAACCGTAGTGCTGGAGTGTGAGTGGCAAAATATAGGTACCTCATATATTTTATATTTAAAATATCAGCGCAGGTACCCATTTATTTAACATTTTCTAAATTGCGTAAGTTAAGTGCAGTTTCACAGAAACTATGACATAATTGGAAACGTAATTCTGAATTAGGAGGCTGCGCATTTTATAAGCAATCCTATGAATCTGAAAATGTTAAACAAATTACCTAAAAGCCAAAAAACCTAATAAATCAAAAATGCAAAACGTAAAATGAAAGTTTCAAAATTGAATTAATTTGTACCTAATTCAAATTCAAAATTCATTATTCTCTGTTTAAATATTTAATTGTATCCATATTTTATCTTAAAATGTCTATAAAAAAAAAAAAAAAACATTTTTTAGATTTTTTTTATTAAGGCGCATTTAAGGAGGTGGAAACATATCTCAAAACTAGCATTTTCGTCCTACTTTCCGAGATTGATTTAGGTAATAATACTTTTCGGGTCCTGATTTTTACAAGTACTTAGTAACTATTTTAGGTACCTACCTAAGTTGTACATACCTGCTGACGTTAGTTTCTGTACCTATTGACTCAGAGACGGATTTACACAATTGCCGCCCCTAGGCAATTTTTTTTTTGCCGCCCCATTAAACGAATTTTTAAATACTCATTTAACAATTATTAACATAAGTACTAAAAAAATAAATCATAAAGACTGATACTAAACAATAATTAATGGCAGTTATGTTAATAAACTGTTCTAATAAAATGTGTTTATAAAATATAGTGTTTATTTACCAGTAATTTAAGTAGTATACTAATAACCAAATATGAAGTCTATCCGCCTTGAATGTTGTGTTGAAAATAATCGAATGTCTAATCAGAATAAACCTATTTTTTACTCGGCCGCCCTCTATTTCATAGTTCCGAAGAAAAATAAACAATTATGAATTATTACCTACATAATTTTATCTTTTGGATAGAAAAAGTTTTATTTTTGTACACATAATGCATAGTACGTACGAGTATATTATATAAAAATATTCAGTGACTGGTTAATAATTAGACTATCGTCACCCTTATTCGTATTAAATATATCATCTATGTATGTATTGTGCGTGTAGTGTTTAGTATTTAGATAATAGATCTACGTTCCGGCAGTCGTTCGATAATTTACTTGGACGTTTATTGTTATGTATTATAAAATAAAGAAGAAATTATATTAACAAGAATATTATTATACTTAAATATTAAACATTTTTTTTCCATCCTTCAGAGTAATCACCGTACATTAGAAAATCAAAAAGAAACTTAGAGTATTCTCATAAAATATTGGGCTAAAATTGCCGCCCCTAAAAATTTGCCGCCCTAGGCAGTTGCCTACTTTGCCTGACGCTAAATCCGCCACTGCCTATTGTATTTTATATCAACATCAGTTTTTTTGGTAACGTTTTCGAACTATGTGTTAGTGTTACGCAAGCTTACAACTCTTGGACGCCTCATGCCCTCATGAAGAAATTACGTTTCCGAATTATATAATATTATAGTCTTACAGTAATTAATAGGTAGATATAACCTATATAAATATAGCCTATACTCATTTCTCAGAAGTCTCCCCTCATGTATATCAAAAATAATTAATTAACATAACACGTATGCAGTGGGTCAGTGGCACTAAGTCTACAGGTACATGCACTGAACTCATTGCTTCATAATATTATAATAAAGGGTGGTATAGCGGTGTGCGTTTGGGATAATTAGTTAAAATTACAAGGCTTTTGAGCCTCGATGTTATCTATACATTTTGCGTTGAGGGAATGATTTAAAAATATTGCAAAGTAATTATTGTGTGATATTTTGTAATACGCTGTGATGCGTTTACGGAATTTTGAATAAATGCATTTATGAATATTGAATAGTTTAGAACATTATATTAATACAACCCTCAATAAATAAATATTTTTTGGCTTCGTAATATTTCTATGAATTTGACACCACTTTTTATGCTTATGATAGTTGAGAATTTATTATCAATATTTATAGGTATTTATATGACCAATGGAATAAGTAGCGTGCGTTGCGACTATGCGAATGATGGGCAATAAACAGTGGCGCAATTATCGGGAGTGTATTCTGTGTGCTGCAATTCACAGGTGGCCCCGAGATCTCATATTATACGATATTCCTACTATTATGTGTAATATACAAAATAATATAATAATAAATAAATATTGATACAATTAGTATAATATACTCTATATATATTATAAAATATGGAAGCTCTTTTTTTGTATGTTCGAGCATATCTTGAAAAGAACCCTACTTATTTTAATACGGTTTTCACTAATAAATAGGGAGTCACAGAAGGTTTTAATGCTCAGGCAACACCTTAAATATGGGTGGATATAGCGGTATTAATAGAAGAAAAATAAGAAATATTATAGGTCGGTATAACAGTATTATGAGGGCCGAGGGGTAGGTCACCTACAATTATTTGAGGAACACCATTTTTTTTTATGATAAACGCCACTGTTTTAATGTAGGTATTTATAATAATTTTCCTTGGTGGCCGAAAATAATAACTATCTATTTCTATGCGTATATAACAATTAATGTTTGTCTGTTTGTCATTGAACTCCTCCAAAACCACTGAACATTTTTGTGTGTTTTTGAGTGAGTCCCTGAATGGCTTAGATTCACAATTAGACCCAGTTGGTTCAACCCGCGGGAGAGGAGCTCAAACAGGTAGTTTGAGATTTACGATAACAATTTTTGTTTATAAATGGTTGCTATTGGTTATAGGATAAATAATTAGTAAAAATTAGTATTTTAAATGTTTGCCATTAGTTACTCTGGCAGATGAGGTAAAAGCATCCATCAAATCGTAGCACATTTATGAGTTCAAATAAAGAAATTATATCTTAAGACAAATATGAGAGTTGAACGTATATTTGTAGCAATTATATAGGCTCACAAAAACTACTTGGCCGATTTCGTGAAAATTTCAAATTGTTCTTGGAGATATCAGAAAATTGTAAAGAGTAGCTTAAACCACGTTCAATTTATACCAAGTGCTATATCACTACATATAAATTGGACATCTTGGTCGATTTAGTTCGAAAAACTACCCGAATTTATCTGTGAACTGAGGTACCTATATAGGTATAGGTACACAAAAACCAAGATACACTTATATAATCTAAATTTTTTTTACATTTTTTTGGCGGGCGGAATCGGGTTATAGGTAGAACCATGATGGCTTGAATATACAATTGTATATTACCTTAAGGTAATTACAATAGTATCCCCACTATATAATTTTATCACGTTTAGGAATTAAAATAGCAGCGTAATGGGACGACCTATACTGGCTATACCTACTATGATATGGACCGTACCCTTACGCTGCCATTTTATTTTTGTTTTATAACAATATGGGCTATGCGTAATAAAATTGTATATTAAACCATCATGGGTATAACTAAAATTGGATGTTGGTTTATCCGAAGTTAATAGCCTCAAAAAATGACTGGACCATTTTCAATACAATTTATTTCAATATATTATTACTTGAAACTTAGGGGGTGTACATAGCTTAATTTTTCAACTCTTATAGGCTGTAGATAGGTAAAGGGTAGCTCACACATGATTTTTTTTTAGAATATGAAAAAATAAATTTTCCATGTCAGTCTGTTGATGTAAATTTTTGTTTCTAAAGTTTTTTATCATGTTATGTTTATTTAATTATATCATATTTTTATTGTATAAGTATTTACTTTAAACGAATTGTAATATCGTTGAACTCCGTATACCAGATACGAGCTTATAGTTCAGTTAGTAGGTATTCGTATCAGCTATTACTAATTTATTTTATTGTAATTATATAATTGTAATTGTTTTGGCTGAATAAATAAATAAAACAAAAAGGGGCTCTGCTGTACAGTAGGTTACAAGTGGGTCACTGTATAGCCATTAGGTACCTACTTATAACTTGTTATACATCAAAAACAAACCGTGATACTATAATAGATATATAATAGTATACTTTAGAAGTTTCAATTACCCACGAATAATATTATACAATCACAAAAAAATAACTAAAATAAATATTCTAGGTTTTTAATATGTAATTTCGTCCAAATTTGAACTTAAAATGACTATAAAAATAAACTGTGTTTATGTATTTTTTAGATTTTTTGGTAACAGAATTAACTACTTACGTGGAACCTTCCTTTAAATTTTATTCCTTAGATAAAAAAGTCGAACATTTTATTCATTTTTAACTACAAAATAAATATTTAATTTTAAATATGATACATTTTGTCAAAATTCGATCTTTAAATGCTTATAAAAAAAAATTGTGCCTATGTATTATTAATATTTTTCAACTGCTATTGTAACAATATATCAGGCAGGAATCAGGCAGGAATAAAGAGCTCAAAATATTTGGAAAATGTTATGGTGTATAGAAAATGCTAGTATAAACATTCAGTCAACATTTCATGTATCTACGGTCATTTGTGTAATAGTTGCACCAAAAACCAAAATTGATTTTCTCGAAAACAAATTTTGCGTAAAAATTGCGTTCTTTTGTTTTTCACGGTGCTTTTGAAAACTACTTGAAAAATTATATTTTTGAGCCCCCAAAGTACCAACTAGATTCACTTTCCTATCAGAAAAAATCCTGTTGAAGAAAATCCAAGCACTTTTACTGTCCTAAAAGGTGATGACAGACACAAAAATAAAGAATAAAATAAATAAAAAAAAAACACACATCATTGTAAAATCAATACATTCATCGCTTCACACAGAATCTAAAATGTAATAATATAAATAATATATGAATATACCCAAATAAATATGTGGTCGATCAGTGATCAACAAATAGATTTTAAAGTAGCTCACTTGTAGGAAAAGGTTGACGACCCCTGTAGTATAGCATATCTATAAATTACTGATAGAGTACTGATTTACTATTTACTAAATATTTGCTTAAATGATTTACCAATTTTATAAACCTATAATAATTTTAGATTCTGAGCGGAGCGAGGAAGCTAGTGGTTTTACAATGGTGGTTTTTTTTATATATATCCTGTATACACAATTTCTACCAGAAAGAGTGATTTGATTTCAACATTTAGTACCTTATATTTTGGCAAGTTGGTCATTTTTCGATTTTCTCAATAGTTATTTAATGCCACGGGAAAAACTACTGACAAACTACGAAAAACCGCTTAAAATGGGATTTTAATTTCTAACGATTTGTCTATCACCGTAGCAACGAATAAAAAATTATAACATTATAATATTAATTCAACTTAAACTTTAAAGGCTACCTATAATGAATAATACAAATTTAAAAAAAGGTGGGCAAGTGGGTGTCGCTCTGCTGTACAGTAGGTTACAAGTAGGTCACTGTATAATGGAAGGTATTAAATTTGAATTCAATGATATAATATCATTGTATAAGAAAAACGATTCTGAGCGGTGATGGTATGTCAGTCTATGTATAAGGCATATTATATACATATCTATGGTATTAAACAAAAAATTGACCTATAATAGGTACCTATAATAAATTCCAAATTAATCATATCACAATATCCATTAGATACTTATAACGCGTTATACATCAACAAAAACCGTGATACTATCATAGATATATAATAGTACACTTTAGAAGTTTCAAGTACCCACGAATAGTATTATTCAATCACAACAAAATAACTAAAATCGTAATTCTTGGTTTAAATATGAAATTTTGTCTAAATTTGAAATTAAAATGTCTGTAAAAAATAAGTGTGTTTATATATTTTTTAGATTTTTTGGTTACAGTATGAATTATTTAAGAGAATCTTTGTTTTAAATTTTCAACTCTTAGTTATAAAAACTGAACATTTTATAATTTTTTAATTCCAACGATTGATAATTTTCGAGATTTTGATAAATTTTGTCAAAATTCCAACTTTAAATGCTTATAAAAAAAAATCGTGCCTATGTATTTTTAATATTTTTCAACTGATATTGTAACAATATATCAGGAGCCTTGTATTAAATTTTTACACTTTTTGGCCCAACAGATAAAACTTTATTGATATTTATAGAAAAAAAAACTAAAAAAATTGAAAGCCGTAAATGTCCATAAACAGCTCAAAAAGAGTCAAAATATTTTCAAAATTGTATGGTGTATAGGAAATGCTAATATAAACATTCAGTGAAATTTTCATGTATCTACAGTTATTCGTTTTTGAATTGCAACAAAATAAGGAAATCGCTACATGAGAAATCGAGTGAAAATCCAATGTTGTAAAAATTTGAATTTCAAACGCTCTTAAAAATTTAATTTGACTGTCCGGTAGAGATTTTTTTATTGATAAAGGTAGATAATCTTATAAGGAATCTTGTGTTTCATTTTCAAATCTTAGATTTAAAAAGAAAAATTTTTACGAATTCTTAACTCAAAATAATTTGCTAATTTTCGTGATTTTTCCATATTTTGTCAATTTTTGAACTTTAAATGCTTGTAAAAAAAATTGTGACTAAGGATTTTTAATATTTTTCATCTGCCTTTGAAACAACATATTAGGAGCCTTCTATTAAATTTTCAAGCTTTCGCAACCAACAAATAAAATTTTATTGATATTTCTAGAAAAAAAACTAAAAAAAAATGAAAAATGAAAATGTCCCTAAACAGTTCAAAATAAATCAAAATATTTTGAAAATGTTATCGTGTATAGAAAATGCAAATATAAACAACCAGTGAAAATTTCATGTATCTACGGTCATTTGTTTTAAAGTCACACCAATAACCAAATTCGATTTTTTGGAAAATCGATTTTGCGTAAAAATTCCCGTTTTTCCTTAATTTTTATGTTGTTTTTCCCGGCGCTTGTGAAAACTACTGGAAAATGTTTACTTTTGACCCCCCAAAGTACCAACTAGATTCACTTTCCTATCAGAAAAGGTACTATTGAAGAAAATCGAAGCACTTTTACTGTCCCAAAACGTGATGACAGACACAAAAAAAAATATAAAAATATAAAAATATAAAAATATAAAAATATAAAAACACACATCATTGTAAAACCAATACATTCATCGCTCCGCTCAGAATCTAAAATATAAATAAAAATATAAATAAAAATATAAAAACATACATCATTGTAAAACCAATACATTCATCGCTCCGCTCAGAATCTAAAATCCAAACTTATAAACCGTCTCCTCTCGGAATCGCGTTTCTTATACAATGATGATATTAAATCATCGAATTCAAGTTTAATACAATATCCATTATACATTGACCCAATCGTAACCTACAGTACAGCAGAGCGACATCCACTTACCCGCTATTTGGTTTTTATTATGTTGCGTGTGCATAGGCCATTATTGTACATAACACGTATACTAAAGGACTCAACATTTAAAGTGATCACAAATATATGAATAACAGATAAATCATTTTTACGGGGTTTTTTTTACTTGTTAGGTATGTTCCCTGTATTTATATTTTTACAATTTAATGTTTAATATAATTATTATAACATTTTGATTTCGTTTTCATCGTTGTTATAATCGTAGCATATTATTATAGGCATAAGAATTAAGAAGTACGAAGTCTAAACCTACCTATACTTCGGCTCACGAGAGTCCATATGGACTCGTCCGTCCTTGCCCATCTGCATGTTGCCGAATAGTGGGAAATCATGGTGAGAGAAAACAGACGTCGCGTATTACTGTATCGATGCGCGGTTGACGTAATATGGACTCTCGTGGGCCGTAGTATACCTTATATTTTGAAATCGTAAGGTGTCATGGTTTTACTGTCAATCAGGCTATTCAATTGTTCTAATGAAAAGAAACATTTTGTTTTATGAAGGCACTGGTGAACTACCATAGACGAAGCAGTGGGTTGCAATCTACCTACCTGAAACCTAAAAAAAAAATGTTTCTCATTATGCGAGAGCAGAAAAAGGGCCATGTACTTTTTATACTCAAATGTCGTGTAATCATAGTTGAAGGGACATAAGGTGATAAAATATAGTGGAGGGTTATAATCCAGTTATACATTTTTAATATTATGTATACGGTTTCGGAAGAAGTTTACGGTTTTTATAATATAGCTGAACGAGACTTTGTGAGAGGGGCTAAGTCCTCATTCCCTCGCCTATGCTCGTATTTATTAAACTTACTTTATTGGCTTTATCTAGATCCAGTTTTGTAAATGGGGTGCAAGAGTAATTGTTCAATAATTTTTAGTGACTAGATCGGACAAATGCGAATTCCACCTATGTACATTGACACATTGTATACCTATTTCATTATAATGCACAGAGTACGGACACACCACATATAGGTACATTATATAAATCATTTTTATATTTATAGGTATTATGTATTAAAAAACAAAATTTAAGTAAAAAATAATATGTACTCTATTTATCTAAATTCTAAAGCCTTTAAAAAAATATAATATGTATAACCGGTTTTAATTAATCGGAATATTTATGAACGCACTTAACCGGTTATTTGAACTAAAAAATAATAATAACAAAAACCATTAAAAAAATCATTCAGGTTTCGAACCCTGCCTACCAACACTATATATGAAAAGAAAACTATTTTTCTTTCTTTTCGTAAAATCGGTTAACTTCTTACAAAAAAAACTTGTTTGATCGTTTCTTAACAGTATCAAAAAGAATCTAGTAGATTATATGCCTCTTCTTGGCTTGCATTCGTCTACAGTAATATAAGTATAGGCAATATACTTAATAACCAATAAATATAATTTATAAGACAGTAATTATTTATTATCATCTACATAATAATATATTAATGTATAGTACCTACTATAATAGTACCTACTATAGGGTTCTTAGTTTTATTTTTTTGGTTTACAAATTTACAATACGAATAAAAACAGTTTTACTGCTATATTATAGTCGTTGTTTTAAATACAAAACGGTTTTTTAGATGATTTTAATTAATTCTATTTGCATACAAGTCTTGAACTATATAACCATTTTAAAATAACAGCTATAATATAGCCTATATTGTAACAGTGTACGGAATACAATTCACAAATGTTTAATTTTTTTTTTGTAAAATCCTCTTCGATTTTAAATAAACACGTGTGGTGGTAAAAAAAAACACACAGACCCACAAAGTGTAACGCAAATAATACACGTCATCTCCTGTTTGCACACATGTGCACAGGAGCTGCAGTGACTGTCGCTATATGATATTACTCACCTAAGTATTTCCTTCCTGGTGAAAAAAGTGCAGTCCTGTAAAAGGAGGAAAAAAAAATAAACACACATCTTATATAGTCTTCCGGGTGTAGCTATATATACTCGTCGGTGAAATAGTGGATGTATTGAGAGGGGGCCCGGAGGTCTCGCGAATTAATTTTTTTTCCAAACTAAAAAATGAATACTACGATATTTTACAATGTGTGTGTCGAGCATGTCACACACACACACACACACACACAGTTTACGACCACTGGATCGCGGGAATCGTGAAATGGGAAAAATTCATTCGATTGTTAAATACTCTCCGCGCCCCCGCGAGTATAGAAATATGTTATATTATTTATATGTAGTATTGACGACCGCATCGTGTACAGTTTTTGCGGCAAAAACCATTATTAATTGACCCAGCCCACAACTCGGCTTCACCGTAGACGGCAGTGTATTATTGTGTTTTATATTTTATACACCCATGATTGGCGTGCGAGTTAAATAATATAATATAATATTGAGAATAATAATAATACGCAGGTAGGTACCTATTATCTGTTCGATGGACATTCGAACACAAGAAAGTATTGATGTTTGATGTCCAAACTCCAAAGTGCACTTGACCCATCCAAAATTTAAGTGGCACTGAATGTCGGGACACCATAAAGTATTCTGTTGTCGCGTCGTGATTTTAATCAAACAACAAACATAACGATATGATACGATCGTTATTGATATATTCTTAACAAAAATATATACATAATTATTGATAGATGATAACCTACCCGTTTGCTTTTAATATTGGATATTCCGGATGTGTGAGTAGGTAATGGATTGTGACAAACACTGTTATTAGAGTTTTTCGTCAATTTATCATCTTAAAAATAACTAACCCAGTAACGTAACACGTCAATTATTTAGGAATGTTTTACTCAATATTTTTGTTTGTATGGTAGCTGGATAGGTCAATTTCAGGTCAATCAGTACATGGCGATGGCAGACAGTCTGCGCACCATAGTCGAATGGCAATTTGTTAAAAGGGACCCATGTACATTTTCAACTACTTTTCAGGAGAAACAAAAAACCGTTTTCCCTTCATTTCTATTTGGGTGATAAGTACATAGGTCATACCTTTTAACAAACTGAAATATTTCATAATAATTTTGCGCAGACAAGATGATACGAAATACAGTGGCGTAGCCAGGGGGGTGGCTAAGGGGGCTATAGCCCCCCCCCATTGACCGATGTTGACCTTAGAATTTTATCAAGATTAATAAAAAAATTAAAAGCGTAAATAAAAAACACATTGTATTTGTATACTTAGCCCCCCCATAAAAATTTCCTAGCTACGCCACTGACGAAATAGGTACTTTTTAACAAAAAGCGATGTGTTTACATAAGAGGATGAATAATATACAACAAAACTATTTTTGTCAAAAATGTAACTTGGGTCCCTTTTAACAAATTGCCATTCAGTTAATTTCCAGGTTTCAACACCGGAGAATTAATTCAGGGACAATTAAGAGGTATGCAATAGAGTCGCTTCCCGTTTTGTTGCATAGGTATCAGTAAAAAAAATAGGGAAATTAAGTGTTTATGAAGGAATCTAATGATGTACGAGTATAACCAAAATGTTATTGGCAACTACCAACCGTTGAAAGCAATGAGTTTCAAATTTTTACCTTTCCCTCAATAATTCCATAGTACCTTTTTTTCGTTTAGGAACCGACGACGCAGCGGAAACAGCTTTCGCATTATTTCCGCGACGCCGGTGCCACCATCGGTTGTTTAATAAAAATTTGTGCCAAATATGTGCATACTGTATTGGTCCCTTGAGGGTGCACATTTAAATCAGTTATTGTTACATGGTGCGACTGTGTGAGATCCTAGTACCTATATGAAAAATAGCACACTATGACAATTATTGACAACATTCAACAATTAAATCAAACAAGTTGAACTTGCGTTCTTTGAAATAGTCACGAGAGAAAAATGAATAAAAATATGACAATCGATCAAATTTAATAACTAAAATAAAGTGCATTAATAGACTGGATTTCGGGATTCAAATTATACGTCCGCCAATAATTGCCAAATTAACTCGAAAATCTATTAATACATAAAGGGTCGGGATTCAACTCACCCAGACTGGGTAGATATTATTTTAGGCCCACTCCCCCAAGAAATAAAGAAGAAAACAACTATAAATTCACCACTACACTATAACACCAGGCAACAACAAAATGTTGAATTTTATATAGGTAGCTGCGATATTAACTGCGATAGGCACCTACGTAAATATCCTAATTTCTAGAGCTAAAATCCAAAATAGTATTTTTACAGTGTGCGAAGTACGTATGGAACCACTCAACCACGATATGATAATATGCGTGGCATACCATAGTACCCTACATTCATACCGCAAGACGAAAGTAACAGAACCACGGTTTATTTATTGGGTGGTTTACGATTTACATAAATTATAAAATGTATAATATTATACTCTTCAATATTCTATATTTCTGCGCAATATTACGAAACCAAAGTAGAAGCCGAAAATGGGTGAGCCATCTAACAGGTGGTAGACGTGTAGAGGGATGTTGGACAAACGGCGTAATATATAACAATATGCCAATATAATATTATTGTCGTTGAACGGAGTGATACCTACCGATTCGGACAGGTGTCCACTGAAGCGGATGATCACCTATCACGACACACGAGTGATGAGTGATCGGCGTTTGCAATTACTAAATATTAATTGGTTATGAGTTATGACGGTTCACTAATTGTTTTTCGTTATGTTAATATGTTACGACCGTCGCATCGCGTTAATTATATAATAAATTATATTATAATTTAATGCGGTGGAATTCGTCAAGTAGGCGCCCCGTCGGTTAACTGTTATATACACACAATAAATTCCACAAAATCTTAAGTCCCGACTGAATTTTCGATGGCTTTTGGGTATCGTTTTGTACAATTGTACGACTTATCGATTAATGCACGACCGAACTACGTGGTCCCTCCTAGATACGTCGCTTCAAGCAATGTTTAGTGTTTACCTATAGTAATTATTCTAAAGTATATCCATAAGACCATAACCTAACCAAAGAAGACTTTAATAAAGTATCACCCGGGAAGTAGAAGGTATTAAGGGTATAGGGGAGAGAAAAACCCCCAATAAATAAGGAAATTTACACTTCAGAGAGGTATAAATATTATAAACTACGAGCGTGTACAATGTCGAATGTACGTATTACATAATACATATCGTATATAGATAGTAGGTAACAAAATTAAAAGAATGTTTTAGATCCGACGACCGCGGCGATACGATCAAATAAATTGAATAGTTTTCTTGGAATATTTTCGGATTTGCTACCAGAAAGAGAGAAAATAATTTTAAAAAAAACTCGCTCCGCACCGCGTGTAATAAACATCTCCTCTTCTCTACGAAAAGCTGTCATCCCTCCGTGTAACGCTCGCGCAGTTCATCGACTCCAAATCGAAAGAAAAAAAAAACCATTTAATATTATACATTTATACATTATAATATTACCGTTTTTGTCACGTTCTACATTTAAATAATTTAGTGGTTCTCGGAATGGTCCAAACTCGGGGAAACGAAATCTAAAAATAACAGAAAGTCGGAGGAAGACACTATTATAATACGAATTTATCAACACACATGTTTGATTTTAATCTCTTGCTCACGGATTCCATTATAGTGTACTATGCGCGGTAGGTACTAGGTATATACAAATATAATATGATATTATAATATTCGTTTATTCCAGTGTAGCTAGTCTCCCCCCCCACCCAGTGATGGGCTCCAGGTTTTTTTTCCTTATATGGCGGCTCTAGTCTACAGTTTTGAACATCTCAATGACTTGATTTCTTACTGTTGTTTTTATTTTTAGGTATTATAATTTAATATTTAAATTAGGTACCTATATAGAAGTATTATATATAGTATACTTATTAGTTGTTCGGAATATTGTCCTTCTTTATAATATGTATATTGACTTCAAAAAGACAATAAGTATCAACCCAATAAAATCATGCCCACAACACTTTCATTTTTCCAATGTATTTATAATATAATGGTTTTTTTTTATAGAAATACTATTTGTCACTGAAAATTCTATGGTGTACCGTGTACCTACATTTAAATTTAAATCTTTATATATTTTTTTTGTTTTGTTTTATTGTATCTGCATTTACTTCGTTTTGAGTCAAGCACTCCAGCTTTAATCGTCAAATGCTTAATTTGTTTGATACGCGAAAAAAATACCTAAAAATTTAGTTAAATTTTAAATGACGTAATTTAGCTTAACTCTTTAGTTATTTACCTATACAAATCAGATTCTAACATGTACGAAACTTTCTACTGTTTTAATGATTATTTCATTTTCTCCTGGTCCATTTTATATACTTACTTTTAAATGTTTATCTGTTTTTGAAATATCAAATTATGTAAGTATGTAACTGTCGTTACATTATCTTGTATCGCATTCTCAAACAATTTTATTAGTAATACGACATTTACGTATAATACGCATTTTTAACGTCTACCGACTACGATTTATCGCCTTTGGCCGGGGCTATACACGGCGTATTCCGTCGAATTTAAAATGCTTAGGTCTATATCGGAGCAGCTATACAGGACGGTTTTCCGCCTCCGTGTATAGCCTCGGCCTTTGGCCTTTGATACTCGATGCGCGCCAATATGTATTTTGCTGTGCCAATGTCGTCCACATGGAATACACTCTAGAGAAGACGACCATATGAGGCGGCGGGTCAATTTTTTACTTTCCAAATATATTGTTAAGTGAAACGCTATTATTAGTATTGAACCGTGCGACTACTGAAATATTAATAACGAATTATCTTCAGAAACACAACAATATTATTGACCACGGATCGTGTTACCACAAATGTATTTTCCCCCGCCGGGGTAAGGTCCCCGTACACACGCCCATGACGATACCGTGGAGATACAAATAATATACCGGTACACTTTCAGCGGCCGCACTAAACCCCTCCGAAACAAGTTATCCGGTTACATAATCGCGGGGTAACAGACCTGCTCTCGCCGCACTCACTACACAATATATTATGATACGTTGTACGATCGACGAAACGGGTAAAAGTGGTCGACCAACGTGAAAACAAACGCGGCGTGAGGGGGTGGTACGGGGGGAAAAAAAACCTGAAAACCCGACCGATCGTGTGTCTTATCGGCCGAACAAATGTGCGTGTAAGACGACGGCACGCCGCGCCTACGAGGAATAATAATGACCGTAGTACGACGACGGCGTTATTAATAATAATTATCACCGATATTCACCTGGTAGTCTTCGAGCTGCGATTCGGTGAAAGTCATCGCCTTGTTGCCCATAGCGTCGTCGCCGCCGCCCGTGGAGCAGCTACACGTCGAGCTGTAATGAACCTACGAGAAGACCATAAATCCGCGACGAGATCGGACCCGAAAACAGAAATAACTAAATTCGTGGGAAATCTCGTCGAGAGGGTTAACACCACCGACGACGTCCGTGCCCAGTGAAGTGCAAACGAGTTGTCCCAACGGGGCCGAGTAATGACACCGACCACCGAGCTCCTTGGAGAGCGGCAGGTGCACCCCCTCGCAAACAAGAGCGTCAAGTCACGCGACGGGCGGCACCGGAGGACGGGAAATCGGCGGCTGCGTTTTTAATACTTTTTTTTTGATTTTTCGCCAACTGGGCGGAATGTGCGCGAAGGACTACACAACACACACACACACACCCGCACGGGAAAATGTAATTTTCGATTATATGGGTGTGGTGACCAGCGGCCGTCTATTCGACTCTCTCAGACCTTTTTCACTTAACGAGATTAAAAAGTACATAGTCAAAATTTAAAGTCACCCATTGCGCTGCTGTTGGCCACACGAGTGACAACCAAACAACAACAAAAAAAAAACGTAGACGCATAATATAATATAACCTATATTTTTTGGCAATCAATATACAAATGATAAACAAAAGAAAAACAAAAAAAAAAAACTAAAATAAAATAATAAAAACGGCTTGGAAACGTGATTTCTTTTTTGATTTAACTTAAAAATTTGTACATAGTATAAATTATTTTATTGCACTTTCGGCCTTGCCATTTTTATAAAGTACTGTATGTTAATGTTAGCAGGAAAAAAAAAAAAGAACAAACAAACGATACTAAAATAATGCTGGGGTACACAAATGTTGGTAAAACTAAAAAATAAAAATCATTGTGCACTGTTCGATTTATATTTAAAAAATGAAAAAAAAAGTATTGTATAACAACAAAATGAGTATTTTATACTTATATATATAATATATTATATACCTTAACAAACATGCCCTAATATGTTAAATTTACAATCAGTACATAATATGAATATACAACAAGTGTTAAGAATAACGAGAAAAATAATAATAAGTGTTGAAAACCTAGAAAAAATAAAATAATATTCGAAACCCTTTTATTAATTTTATTTTTGTTTGTAAACTTTCCATAAACGAACCCTGTATTATGTTACAATGGTCAAAAATATTAAATATGTAAGCTCTCGAATATAATTTCAATGAAAATATGTCTGCCCTGTGGTCATCATTGTTACGTTTTATACATATTATATTTATATAGAAAATTGAGCCTACTTATGTGTGTTGCAAGAACAGTACCTACTATTATTTGTAACAAAACAATTAAACTAAGATCAGGTAAAACACAGTGCTGACTAAAATATTTAAATGGCACCAAAAAGTTTACACATAGCACCGCTTACACACTAAACATAATAATTTCTTATAACATTTTCACATATTTTTTTTTCTTTTTACAAAAATATTGACTAAATGGTATACACTTTAATTAATAATTTTGATTGAAAATAATGGCCATGAAATTGCACTTAAAAATTAACTTTAACATATTATTATCATACACAATTATTAGGTATCAAAATCTTATACAAAACAAAATCCTAATATTTTTAAATAAATATTTCAATTTACATACTTAAAAAGGAGTTGATTATTATTATAATATATATCATATATATATATTCTATAGTTTTTGTATCTACTATATGATCACACAACAATAATGTACATATAATTTGTGTAATTTTAATTTAAATGTACTCTCAAATGTTATTTAACAAACAAAACATCTAATTTAAAATATGTTAGTGTAATTTAACAACAATATAATATTTACTTAGTCTATAATTGAATTTTGGCTGATATAATCAATTTTCGTCTTATTGTTTTATTGACTAGTAAATGTAGCCTACATTCAATTGTAACAGGACTAGACATTAACTTTTTGTAATATGTATTTGGATCAGCATATCAACATAACTGACAAAATATAAGTAATAAATAAATACAAATTTATTTACAAATGTTAAGAACATAGTTAAGATATGTTATGGAGTTAACAATGAGAAAAATAAAAATAAAAATACCGGATAGAAAGAAAAGGAATTTTCAAAAATAATTTAGTTACTTAATGTAAGTCAATAGTTGTCCTGTATAGAGAGTAGAAGTCATGCGGTCCGTAAATATAAAATAAATAATCTTTATGTTCAAGAAAATATTTTAGATAAAGTAGCAGTGTGATGTCATCTGTACTTAACAATTTAGTCATGTAGGCCAAGTGTCGCGCAATCTTTTTGGTGGTGGTCCTCCTTCAAAGTCGTGTCTTGAATCTACTAAGCTCTGATTACTGGGCAACTGTCCGCCTAGTATAAAACGTTCTGGTTTTATACAATTAGAAAGAAAAAAAAATATTAAATAACAATTACATTTTATAAGTTGAAAGAAATTTTTACCTGTGACAGACAAGTGATGGGACGGTATTGAAGTATGAGCATGTGGTAAAGATAAATGACTGATAGAATGTGAAACAACAGTATTAGGTGCTGTTCCAGAGGTTGCTGAAGACGTATGGTGATGTAAATGTGGTGGCGAGTTAGGCTCGCTTTTAATGCGGACGGAATTTGGTGATGGCGACGAAGGTGGTGATGAATTTGGTACCCCTAGATGAGACATTCCACTAGAAAATACAATTTTTTTTATAAATATATAAATTTGTGGTTATCGAATTAAAAGTTATAAGCAAACCTGTTGTGTGCTAGTTGATTAGACCAATTCAATGCTGATGAAAGACCCATGTCAGTAGATGTTAGATCAGTAAAAATACCATGATAAGATCCACCCAATCCAGGTGTATGAAGCGCTACAACTGGTGTGTTTAGAGAGACAGTTGGCGTGTTAATTGAGTTTGCCTAGAAAACAAAAAAATTATTTACTATTCGATATTTTAAGTTATGATAACTCATATTAATAGTACAAATTATAAAAATGTTAATTACATTATTATCTTCGTGATGACTAGGAGCATTGGGCATGACGATACGCAAATTAGGTCTAGGCGAATGATGTCTAGGCGGTGGAGTAGCCCTATTAGAGGCATTTAAGGCTTTGGGCGTAGGCGATGGTGACATGACTAGTTGCCCCGGAGAAGAAGGTGAGTTGACTAGTGCAGGCGAAGAAGATGCTTGGTATCCATTACTCATTTCCAACATACTACCAGGGGGATAAACTAAAAAACAAAATTACAATAAATAAAAATTTCAATTTGCTACCACCACAATACAAAATAATAGTAAATACTAACCAGAATCAGCATCAGACGAAGATGGAGGTCTTGGGCTAGCATTGTGTTGCAGTTGTAAGTTCCCAGAGTCATTATACATGTTGTTTACAGGCATAGTGGTGGGAAGTGAATAGTTAGCACTTACATTATTCTGAAAATAATAGTTATTTAATAGATATGTATGCACACAGATTATTGTTTTCCAGTAAAAAATAATATTTACTCTGGCCATTCTTTGATGTTGCATCAACAGCTGGAACTCTTCATCAATTTTACTGTATTTTGCTTCAGTTCTTGGTGTAAGTTGGTATGGTCCTTGTGTACCATCACAACTTTCGTCTGGGCTTTCAGGGCTCAAGGCACCACCTTTAAGTTCTTTTTTGTTCAATTGCTGAAAAATTAAAATAAAATGCATAAGTTTTAAATATCTATATTAATATTAATTTATTTAGTATTATTACTTCGATGATATTCTTGTTGGTGAGCGATTCGTGAGGTTCGTTGTACTCTGTATATTTTAGCAATACTTTATCCATATCTGTACTAGCATATTGATACAATTTATTAGAGCTGCTGAATATGATTAGAGCAATTTCGCAATCGCATAACACACTCAGTTCATATGCTTTTTTCATTACGCCAAATTTTCTCTTGTTAAATGTAACCTAAAGCATAATATGGTAATTTATTTATTATTATCGTTAGGTGGTCATAAATTAAAAAACAAAACAATACATTAAAATAAAGAAAACTGTTACGACTGTATTGGGATATATGGGAATTATTTATTTAATTATTAAAATAATTAAAGTTAGAAATAAAATACAAAAATGTAGTCACAAAACCAAACCAACACTTGACATATTATCAGTATATCATCAGACATATTATAATATTAAGTTCGTAAAACTCATTGTTTTCACATCAGACTAGTTCTCTAAAATAAATCGCAATTCTTACAACGGTAAAAACTTTTTATCGTTTTATTATTATGGTTTTCGCGATAAACACAATATAAAAAAAGTTGATGGATGTAAAAGAATTTTAACTATCATCGCTAGTCACGTCCAAATCACGGACATGCGGCTCGTTTTTCTGCGCAAGTATTTCCACCACTCGACTTACCCAGCACTACAGTACTATAAATTCAATCGAAACTGAGAAAATAATGCTTATGTATAGTTGGGTACCACACTACCATGCAGCAAAGACGCAACAAATTCAAAAGTCACACAAGGTTCCGGTACATTGTCAGGTCATATTCAAAATACATACAAATTACAATATACTTAAGTAATAATTAAAACGATATTTTCGTTGGCTTTTTAGTGAACGATTTTAGGAAAAAAGTCATAGGCGGAACCAACCATTACAATTTCAGGGTGGCTAACATTATTAATATCAATGTGAGTAGGAGGGCTTCGATCCCACATGACTAAAGAATGAAGGGTTTGACGGTCCTTTGGGGGGACTAAGCCCTGTTAAGTTCCCCTCCGCCATATGAGAAAAAGTATTTCATGTACGATGTACTGTTTAGTACCTTTTTGTAAGTTTTGTAACCAATCTTATGTGCCAATCGCTGACAGTTCTGAACACCAATACCCAATTACAACTACTCATCCCTCAGACAGACAGAAATAAGGAAATTATATTACCTGGCGATTGCGTTCGTCGGTGATCCGCGATATCTGTATTTTCTTACGGCCCATGGTGGCGGCGGCGGCGGCGTTAGGGTCCGCTGAACGGCGCCGTTCACTGCTTCTTGGAATTCTGTTTGTCTTATCGACGACGATCGTATTTCTCCACCGAAGGCGAGGGTGAAGACAACGACACGACGACGAGACTCCTTGTTGAAATGATTCTTATACGCTCTCGACCGATATCTGAGGAAACACGAAAGAACGACGGAGTGTTAAAATGGATCTAAATTGTATATCTATAATTTATTGTACTACGACGGTTGGTGTAACACACTAGCTATTACGGCCATAACGATAAATTCAAAATATAATTCAATCGCGGTAAAATAATACATTATATTATAGGCTGCTAACACACACGCATAACAACTTCTTAGCGTACACGAGGAGGACGCGGCGACGGAGTTGACGATAACGTGATTGTGTGTGTATTAATGTACCAAGTATTTACCTTCCGCTTCGAGAAAAAATAACAATATATATCCACGACCGACCACCACCGAAAACGGGTCTGTCGTCTTCAGTCGCTCGCGTACGCACCACAATAGGTGTGTTACAAAACAGAATACGAGCCACGGCCGGCGCGCGCGCGCGCACACACGAACACACACGAGACCGCGCGCGAGTCCGACGTTTGTAGGCTATTTCTGTAAAGTTTTCCGGGGGGTTTTAACGACCGCGCCGATAAGACGGTTAGTTACTTACGGGACGGACAGCCGAATAATAATAATAAAAATATATTATTGTATTATTATAGGTATTCGACAATAATAATATAATACTATTGTATTATAACAGGTATTCAACGATAATAATATAACTATTATTATTGGATAATCAAAATTGTATATTATATATATATATATTATATTTATATGATAGCCCGCGCACGGGTCGTAAAGAGTATGATATTGGTAATAATATAAACGACGGTTCAGTAAATGATATCGTCTCTGTACACAAAACGATCGGTTACACAGGTAAGCGGCGGCGACGTGTGTGCATTGTGTCGTCCAAAACGCGATTGATATCAACGTAAGTCGTAGGTACATTTCGTTTAGTCTTATTAATATATATTATATTATATCACTGTGAACAAAAAAAAAATAATAAAATATCTAGAACACTTTTGACCGATTCGAATACGGTGTACTCGTGTTAACGCATCTTTTAACCGCCAAACGACGACGATTCGACCTTGGGCATGACGTGATAACACCGAAGCAAACGTACCTAGTGTGGTCGGAGGATGTGCAGTGTGCGCGTAAATTTAAGTACACAATGTAATAAACTAATAACACTAATATAATATTATATAGCTAATCACAAGACGTGAAGAAAAACATAATTTATTAGGTCTTGCTCTCCCACTGTTCAGTGTTCAGTCATCGACTGCTGTCGTAAATCAAACACATGGTTGATGTTTTGAAATCCAAATACAATATACATATATATTTTAGGACAATATTTTAATGATTTCAATATTATTCTTGGGTCAAAAGAGATATCATTTTTTTTTATAATTTGTTTTAATACTATTTTCCATCGAAAAATATTTTGTCTCAATGACGAAATTAAAATTCCCCAACCGCCAACCTGGCATCTATGATGGTCATTAAATCACGTATAATATACAAATTGAAACGGAAAGAGACGTTGGCGAATAGCATTGTATTATTGTGACACATTATTGAAGTATATCATATACCTCGTACAAACATAGAATGTCTTGTAGTTGGTATCCCCAAGAGAAGTATATTATATTATCTATAAAAAATAAGCAGTTTTGAAAATGTCCATCGACCAATAACGATAATATTTCAGAGTCCAAACTATGCACCAGCACGTGCAGAAGCGTACACCATCAATAATATGAATTGTAGTGGATTTATATTTATTTTCGATGACTAGGATGGACAAATAATATAACTATTACCAAACGAATCCGTTTCTAACAGTATAATATTAATCATTATGACGTGCTTCCGTTGGTATACAGTGGATTAAAATGAATAAATCTCCCGTATGTACCTATCTATTGTTGATATAACAAATCACAATAATTGATAAAAACGGCATGCAAAGACTTCCAAAATAACATACATTAACAAGAAAAACACCGTATCTATTTTGGATCGAGCGGATAATTATTTTTATTCATTTGAGTTATTTATGAGTATTATTTTTCCGACGGATATCCGGTCAAAATAAATGCGGCCGCTTAACACCACACTCAATGTCGCCACATACAATAACGGCGAATAACGGCGATCACTATTCACTATTACACACGCGTCACGCCACGTTCAGGTATGTACACGGTGGGTTGTAAAAATTACTATATTATAAACTAATGAAATTCGAACACGTGGTGTAACGACGCCGGTGCTATCCGATGAGAATCATAATAATATTTGTTATCGTCACTGCCTCCCGACATCCAAACGTCCGACAACAATTATAAACAGCAAACACGCGCACGCAGTACAAGACACGTCGCCGGTTGCAAAGAAAAGAGCAGATTATCTCGCGGCCGAAAAATGCATCGACAAAAACGCGAGATAAACACATTTCACGCATGTGCGTATATGCAACAGGTCGCATAAATTTCACGATATCGACAGAAAACAACGAGAGGCGCACTTGCTCTCTCTCTCTCTCTCTCTCTCTCATTTACACAACCGCCACCAACAGCCGCGTTTTTTTTTTTATATTCTCCACAAGCTAGCGGGGCGGATGGGCGACGCGTAAACATTCCCATCGGTTTCGTCTCCGCCGTCACCGCGTTTGTCCCGTAAACCGGGTGTGCGCGCATCACTTTTATTTCCAAAGATAATATTGTAATATTATTATTGTTGCGTCGGAGTGTTTACACGGAGAAAAAACTTTTGGTTTATTGGGAATAAAATACAAAAAAAAAAAACCTGTGGAAATGGATCCAGACAACGCCGAGGCGGCAACTGGTTGTGCGTAGTGGTGGAGAGAGGTGGTGGAGAGTGCAGCAGCGGGTAGCGACGACGGTATGCAATGAATTCGTTGGTGTGTGGTGCGTATGTGACTGTTAGTGTATAGATTATAATAATATGTTTACGGACGTGTTTATCATTATTACACGAACGAGGTTAATAATAATAGGTATATTATACGTACTAAACACTGTATCGACGCGGTTTGGCGACGTTTAAAAAAGTTACGATGAGGCATCGATTCTCGACGAGCCGAGAAATGTTTTGATCACCAAACCCACTTTGGATTTTCGACGAAAGTGAAAAAAAACCATGGCCCAATAGAAGGGGGCGCGGAAGAGTTTCCATTTTTATTTACGCACGTGCAAATGTCGAGTGCTGTTAGCAACTATTGTTTAATTTAACATCGTATTAATATAAAAAACAACGACTCGTCTATCGAGAATATTAAGAGAAACGATACCTACCCAATCAAATTACCCAGTGGCCAGTACCCGCGACCACTCGACATTTACATAATATTATGAGTTCGATTATCGAGATAGTTATCTACCGCTGTTTTACGGGACTTTTCCGACGGTGACCCAGGTCACTATACACAAACATAATAAAATTATGATCGAAGGTCGTCATTTTTCAATTTTCCGTAGGATAAGAAAAACACGAGTAACGTAAATCGCTAGGCGAGGAGCAATTTAATCGAATTTAACACGATTTCGTAACGGGACACCGTCTACGAACGGCACCGATTCAAATACAAGATAATATTATAATGTTGTTGTCGTCGTTACCGGACAATATTATGTATATTATATGGTACGGACACACCTCCCCCGGTTCAGGAAAAAAACCTTCGGAGGACATTTTTCACTTAAGCCCTTCGTGATCAATACACGCTAATGGAGGCGACATCTCAAAATTGTAAATGCCTAAATCATGGTATTACACATTTACACACCTTTAACACAAGAACGCACAGTTATATACTACTTCAGGAAATCGGTCAAATGATAATATTATTATTATAATTCGAACGACAACGGCGATACCAGAAACCGGTTTGTTATAAAATTAAACACACTTTTTTTTTTCTTCTCGAAATCCGGTAAATCCGGATTTTATCAATACCGATTTAGATACAATCAAGATCAAAATATCGAACCGATGAACTCTAAATCCACGGAAATACAAATAACAGATCGTTTTAATTGCAACAGAAAATGTCAATGTTTTAACTGTTCAGAAGTTTAATACGCACACCAGTAATTTTTAATCGAAATAATATTTCACATCTAAATGATAAAAAGAAAAAAACCGAAAAACATTATTTTGTCCGTATTACCCGTGTAAAATTTAGTCTTGTCGACAAAAAAATAATATGTGTGTAGTGACACCTGTTTTTTATTTATTAATATTGCCGATTAAAGTAAAAATGTACAATCTCAAAAACTTGTTGGCAGTTCATTGTTGATTGCCAACAAGTTTTCGAATATCGCTATTGCATACGAGTGAGTGGCAAAATTGAAAATCCTTTACGGACGATGGGCAAATTTAACATCAATTAGGTAATATAATTCAGATGCCTATATAAATCTTTTTTCCGAGTATTATAAAATAAATCCATTTTGATAGTACCGATTGACAAAAATAAACGTTAAAAATAGACCTTCTCTAATTGGTTGTTTTCCAAACCATTATAATTGGTTACGTTTACTTTAGTTGGAAACGTTTATAAAATTATTTCCTATGAAGTACCTTGATAATAAAATATTCCAGACAATGATTTCACAGAACGCACGACACTATTACGATAATAATTTTATATTTTAGGCTTGCAGTTTATTAGAAAAAATCTAAAAGACGGGAAATACAAACACCACAAATTACTACCTGCTAGACGGTGCGAAAATAAAAATGTGAGACCCAACCATTTTAACTATACCAGACACGGTGGTGCGGAGAGACTTGCGGGACACAAGTGCGTACGGGCAGGGTGTGTAGTGGGCGTGCAACGGTGGTGTATGACGACATTGACACTGAGGG